TAGTCTAACCTTAGCTGCAGTTGGAATACACGGATTTAACTTCGCAATTTTCTTTAAACATTCAGGAATCTGTATACTTTCTGTGCTTTTAAGTCTCACCATAGGCATTCTTTCTATATTAAACCTGTTTACCATGGAGTTCTTTAGCTGTTCAGCACAACGCATGGGAATATTTGTTTCATATTGCTATAAATTTAATATAAATGATGCAATCAGTGTGGAATTTCTTACCAGTATATTTTTCTCTGATTTTCATTGTCATTCTGCAGTATATGAGATGAAAATTTAAAGACGTTTTGTAGCTGAGAATACTTGAAACATTGATTGTGTTAGAAGGCTGGGAAATGACTTAGTGCATTACAGTAAACATTTCTTTTTATATGATTAGTGGTGAAATAACTTGGGCTTCAGGGCAGAGTCAGTGTGCTGTTACAATGATGGGTTTGCCCTTGGTTTTGAACTATCATTTGCTTGAAATTTGACAGCAACAGTAAATCTTTTCCATAGGTTCAGAGGCTTCTAAAGGAACATGGTTATCTGGAATGAAAATAAGAAATTTATTAAATTTTGGTATTTAGAAAAAGAGTTCTATTTTAACATCATGGCTGTGGGTTAACCCCAGCAGGCAGCTCAGCCCCACACAGCTTGGTCACTCTCCCCCAGTGGGATGGGGAGAAAATCTGAAGGGTAACATAGTGAGGGAACTCATGGGTTGAGGTAATGACCAGTACAATGGCTTGTTAATTAGGTGACTTCCTGAGCTGAATTTGACTTTGGTGATGAAAGCCAGCATGTTAAGACACATGGTTGGAATTCTTTGGTAGGAGCATGGTAGCTGGCAGATGGATTCCTCTACATGTACAGCAAAGGAAGTACCATAAGGCATCAGAGAATTAGGTTGTATATTAGTAGTTACAAGCCTTAGGTTCTGTGCAGTTGTTTTGGATGGGGAAAACATTTCAAATGAGATGTCAACAAGAGGGGGAGAAAAAAATTAATTGAAAGAGCAGAAGAGAAGGAACCAAGGTTACTGGTACTTAGCAAAAAGAGACATTGTTTGTCTGTGTGTAGGTAAATTTGGAAACTGAAGAAGTGACAAAAATCCTTAATTCTGGAGGAATCAGTACTGTGCTCAATACTCAGTACAGAGCTGAGATAAGAGGGATGGTAAAAAGGAAGCAAGTACATGCGAGCTTTGGAGCAGCAAAGGAGATGATTGGTCTGCAATGATGGTGTTTAGAAGAAGCAGGGTTATCTAGGGTACCAGATTAATTTTATGGCAGGCCCTCAAGC